TGGTGTGAGGTACAGATCTTGTTTCATTTTTCTGCAAATGGATCTCCAGTTTTGCCAGCACCATTTATTAAACAAATATTCTCTTCCCCATTTAATGAATTTTGGGCCTTTGTCAAAGATCAGCTGACTTGATCTATTTCTGGGTTCTCAATCCTATTCCATTGGTCTATGTATTGTCATTAAATCAATACCAGGCAGTTTTGGCTACTGTGGCTGTATAGCAGGTTTTGAGATCCGGCAGTGTGAGACTTCCCACTTTGTTTTTCTTCTTCAATAGTGCTTTGCTTATCCGAGGTCTCTTTCCTTTCCATATAAAGTTAGTGATTGGTTTTCCCATATCCGTAAAGAATTTTGATGGGATCTGGATTGGGATTGCATTGAATGTATAGATTGCTTTGGGTTTAATTGTTTTTTTTAGCTTAAGTTTTTCGTTTTGCCAAGTGATGTACTCACTTCCTGTTGAGAGCTGTCCAGTGCTGTGGGTTTGTTGTTAATGCAAGTGCAGGAAAACTATTGCACATTAAAAGTATCTGACAGTAAATGATGGGATTTTTGCGGGTGGAGTGGGAGGGGGGTAGACCTGGTACATTAAATCTCTTTCTGGCTAACGTAGATTCCTGACTTTTATTTTTATTGCCACTAGAAAATCTAGACTTCTCAGGCTCTTCTCTGTGTCCTAGGTAACAGCTGTTTATCATGGTTTAAAGGCTTGCTATCTTGGCTTAATTCAAATTCTTGCCATTCAGTTTCATTCGTGACTATTAGAATTAAGGAAGTATGTCATAGTTCAAAATTTAATTTAAGGGGGGGTATGCAGGCATTTGACTGCTAACCAGAAAGGTTGGTGGTTCAAACCCACCAGCTGCTCCTTGGAAGGAAGACTGGGCAATCTACTTCTGTAGAGATACTGCCTCAGAAACCCAAGGAGGGGTCGCTATGAGTCAGATCCAACTTGATGCAGTGAATTTGGCCTTTGGTTTTTTTATACAGGCTTTGGGTTGTACATTTGTGTTCTGGTTGCATCTTTGTGAATCTTGGTTATATACCTTCTGACTTATTTCTCATCTGTAACATGGGAAATCGTGCCTACTCTCTGGGATTGTTCTTTAATCCATTCAACAAATGTCTGAGTGGCAGCTATGTACTGTGGATTGTACAGTGCTGAAGGAAACAGTCCCTGCTTCACGGTTGTGAGCATTAAATTAATTAAGAGTGTGGAACCAAAACATACTGCCATTGAGTTAATCCAACTCACAGTGACCTTAAAGGACAGAGTTGTACTGCCCCATAGGATTTCTAAGGCTATGAGTCTTTACAGAGGCAGACTGCCTCATGTTTTCCCTGCAGAGCAGCTGGTGTCTTTGAACTGCTGACCTTTTTGTAAGTAGCCAAGTGCTTTAGCCACTACACTACCAGAGCTCCTGAGAATGTGGATAGCACGGGGCAGTGCCTAGCACTCATAATGTCATTGACCCCTGTCTCTTTTCCATTTTTCTGTTTTGAAAATGTTTTTGAAATACCTCTTCAATTTGCTCATTCCACTGTTTTCACTTTTGTCTCCCTAGGTTAGACTTGTCTTTCATTCCAAGATTATAACGTGTGAAGATAATTTTCCTTAAATGTTACTTAATCATGTCTCCCCACCTTTTGAAAAACCTTCAGTATTCTTCCTCATTAAGCTCCATATCCTATCTCCCTGAGCTTTATTTTCTCTATCTAATTTCTAAGGTCATTATAATCTGACTACCAAGTAAATGTACTTTCCATTAAAAGTACTAAATAATTCTTAACATTTTTTTGAGGATTTACTGTGTGGTAGGCACTGTCCTAAGAACTTTACGTCTCTTTTTTCTTTATCCTTGAACTGTCCTATGTGATAGGTCCTTTTATTATCTCCTGTTTGTCTATGCAAAAAGTGAGCCACAGAGAAGTTAAGTAACATGTCCAGGATTGCACAGCTGGGATGTGTCAGAGGCTTGGATTGAATTCAGATGCAGTATCAGTCTGCACGCCCAGCCGCCACTGTGTATACCCGCGCCTTCATTCATTCACCACCGTGTTCTCGTTCTCTTTTCCTCCTGCGCTGTGTTTGCTCTGGGTGCTCTTCCTGGGGCGCTTTTCTTCACTTGTGTTCCTTCTGTTGACATTCTGCCGAGCATCTGGACACACGCTACTCTGGTTTTGGAAGCTTTTGCTTATAGAAGGCCGGGATGACTGCTAAGGGTTTTCTGTCTCAGAACATCTAGCACTATGCTAAGCTTTCAAATATATATTGTTTGGTTTTGGGGCTTAGGAAAAGTTTAAAAAGGTCATTTGAGTCTTTTAAAGCATTTTAAGGGCATTGAAGAATTTATGACTAGGCTAAAGATTTGTTACTCAACTTTAACCTCAAAGGGGACAATAAAATCTTATTTAACAATAGCTAGAGATTTTTGGATACAAAAAACCAAAGTCACTGCTGCCCTCAAGTCGGTCCCGACTCATAGCGACCCTTCCTTGGGTTTCCGAGGCAGTATCACTACGAATGTAGATTGCCCAACTTTCCTTCTGAGGACTGGCTGGTGGGTTTGAACCACCTGCCATCTAGTTAGCAGTCAAGTGCCTTAGGCACTACGCCACCAGAGATTTTTGGATAGTTCACATAAAAATATTATAGGGCAGGCCACCTTATAAGGCTTAAAGAGGAAACATATTGAAATGTTTTCTTCTAATCCAAGCCGTCTTTATCAGGGTTCTGAGCTCAGAACAGGAGCGGCTGAAGGCCTGGCCAAGCTGCTGTTCTCCGGGCTTCTGCTCAGCAGCAGGATCCTCTCCCGCCTCGTCTTGTTGTGGTACAATCCTGTGACCGAAGAGGACGTCCGGCTTCGACACTGCCTCGGCGTCTTCTTCCCCGTGTTTGCTTACGCAAGCAGGTATGGAGCCGCTGACGGCCACAGTCCGACGGAAGTCAGCGTGGCCCCTCTGCCCCCGTGAGGGACGTCTGTAGTGTCAGTTTGTCGATGATGTTTGTTTTCTAACTGCATTATAAATGACGAAATGGAAACTCCCCTAGCCTTTCTCTAACTGAATGATTGGCTGTTTCATAGGTGGACTTGTGCTTTATCTTGATGGATTGGATTTTATACATAATATTCTTAAGACTCCTAAGCTTCTTTTCTCCTAATATACTATTTTATCAACATTTTTCATATTCTTTTCATAGGACCAATCAGGAATGCTTTGAAGAAGCTTTTCTTCCAACTCTGCAAACAGTGACCAATGCCCCTGCGTCGTCTCCTTTAGCCGAGATAGATATTATCAATGTTGCTGAGTTGCTTGTAGACTTAACAAGGCCAAGTGGATTGAACCCGCAGAACAAGAATTCCCAAGATTATCAGGTGGGTGAGTGTGAGGGCTGTGCAGAGAAGGTGCAGCACGCAGGTCGTCAGTGTTTTGATACAATAACCCCTCTTCAGTTCTTTGAAATAGCAAGGAGCGGCATTTTGACCTTGAGATTTCTGGTCTGTATGGTGGTGCATGACATAAACCAAAAAAAAAAAAAAAAGATTTTTAGGGAGACCTGGAAGTAATCATATGAAAATAGAACTAATCGATACTAATACCTCTGCTTCTGAAAGAAGTTAACATCTCTTAATTTCTCTTACTGACTCCCTTCCCACCCAACGTTGGTCTTGTTAGGTGCTGTCAGGTTGGTGCCAACTGGCGGTGGCCCTGTGCACAGCAGAACGAGACTCTGCCCGGTCCTGCGCCACCCTCACAGTTGTTGCTATGCTGGAACCCATTGTTGCAAGCACGGTGTCAGACCATCTTGTTAGTGGTCTTCCTCTTTTTCACCGACCCTCTACTTTATCTAACATGTTGTCCTCCGGGGACTGGTCCCTCTTGATACCATGTCCAAAGTATGGTGGACAAAGTCTTACCATCTTCCTAAGGAGTGTTCTGGCTGTACTTCTTCCCAGGCAGGTTTTTCATTCTGGTGGCAGTCCATGGTATATTCAGTATTCTTCACCAACACCCTCATTCCGATGCATCAGTTCTTTGGTCTTCCTTATCCATTCATTCTCCAGCTTTTGCATGCATATTTTCACCTAATCAAAACCAAACTCACTGCCATCGAGCTGGTTTCGACTCATAGCGACCCCTCCTTGGGTTTCTGAGACCGTATGTCCACAGAAGTAGATTGCCCAGTCTTCTGGCGAGTGGCTAGTGGGTTTGAACCACCAGCCCTCTGGTTTAGCCATCATATGCCTTAGGCGTGGCTTGGGTCAGGCGCACCTTAGTCCTCAAGGTGACATCTTTGCTTTTTAACACTTTCAAGAGGTCTTTTCTAATAGATTTGCCCAGTGTAATACATCATTTTACTGATACTATTTATCATTCTGCAGTACTGTCCCAGGAGCTCTGGTGGCCCCGTGCCTAAGGCATTTGACTGCTAATCAGAAGGCTGGTGGTTCAAACCCACCAACCTCTCCTCGGAAGGAAGCTTGGGCAGTCTACTTCCACAGTGATGCTGCCTCAGAAACCCAAGGAGGGGTCACTGAGTCAGATCTGACTTGATGGCAGTGAGAGTTGAGTAGTAGTGTCCTAATGTATGTATCTAGGACTCATTGAGTCTTCAAATATTGGCTTAACTTGCTATATGCCTGATATAGGAAGGAAGATTCACAGAAAGAAACAGTCCTCGAGCTTATTTGGGTTTTTGGTTGAAAGAAGGTAAATCAGCTGCACACTGCTCCACAGATTCAATGTCCACCGGGTTCAGAAACTCTTCAGTGTTGTCTCATCAGACTTGTTACCACCTTTGACAATCACTGTTAGTCATGATTTCAGATGCCACCTGAGTAAGCTGTTGAGTTCTTCTGTAACTTTGTCACTTGGTGACTACATAGAGTCCTTGGGTGTGAGAGATGGTTGAGTACTTGACTACTAACCACAGGCCTGGTCAAACCACCCAGAGGGGTCTGGGAAGAAAGGCCTGGCTGCTTCCAAGGGTCAAGCCTCGACGATCCCGTGGAGTGCAGTTCTGCTCTGTAGCACACAGGGTCACCATGAGTCAGTGGCTTTTGGTTAGTGACTCCGTACTGTGTTCAGGTCACTGTGCTATATGCTATTGGGAACATGAGATTACAAAGAATATCGAGGCAAATTCCAGCAAAGGTCAGAGCTACAGCTGTGAGGTGTTTAGGGGTTGAGAGCAGAGCAGGAGTGGGGGGGGGATGGGGGGGGAGAGCAGCATTCGTAGCTTCATACTCAGGGTAAAATGCAACTAGGTTTTCCTGTGGGTTCTGAAGAGCGGTTTGGATACAGAGGAAGGACATTTTCAGTGAAGGTGTTAAACATATGGGGCCAACAAGTCATATTGGGGAATTAGGGAAAATCATTCTGGCATTATTAGGGGAGAAAGTTAGGATAGATTTTAGGATGCTTTAAAGGCCAAGAATTAGGAGTTGGCCCTATTTGCAGTAAGTATGCAGGGCTTGCAATGGACGGGTTAATTGGATGAATGCTATTTGTTGGGAATACTGATAATGATGGTTATATGAGGTAGATTGGTGAGAGGATGGGAGAGAAGATGTTAAGAGACCAGTGAAAAATGCGGGCAGTTTAGGGATAACAGCCTGAGGTAGAGTAGTAGGGTCAGCAGAGGAGAAAACTTGGGACTAAGAGCCAAGAATGGAGAGCTGTCAGAAGTAGAGGAACTGGGGGGTCTGAGCAGTGCTGGCAGCTTATTGTGGGTGACAGGGCCCCCGAGAACCTGTGCCAGAGTAGTTTATTGGGGGGTACTCTGAGGCTCAACACTGGTGGACGAGTGAGGACAGTAGGTTGGGACAGAGGCGTGCAGCCAAAGACCCTATTGATCTCCTGTGGAGTTCGGAACTGGGAGGCCCTGTGAGCTGTCCAGAACAGAGGCCAGTGGGTGGGGCGGGCCAGCAGTGTTTCTGCAGGGGCCAGTGCATTGGATGTGGCCCAGCAGGGGCTGGGGGTGCACCAGGTGTGGTCCAGCAGGGGCCAATGCACCAGATGTGGCCCAGCAGGGGCCAGTGTGCCAGATGTGGCCCAGCAGGGGCCGGGGATGCGCCAGATGTGGCCCAGCAGGGGTGGCCCAGCAGGGGCTGATGCACTGAATGTGGTCCAGCAGGGGCCAATGTGCCAGATGTGGTCCAGCAGGGGCCGCGGGTGCGCCAGATGTGGTCCACCAGGGGCCGATGCGCTGGACGTGGTCCAGCAGGGGTCAGGGGTGTACCGGATGTGGTCCAGCCCTGGGTAAGGTGGTGTGCCATTGGCAGGGCTCACTCATGGAATCCTTACTTTCAGTCTCATATGCACGCTTCCATCCTAAAGGGGGGATCTGGGTCCTGCACCACAGTGTTCACTACAAAAAGTCAAAAAGAGACCTTATGTGAGGAAGATAGTAAATCCTATTTTCAACACTTTGCATTTAGGATTGTGGCAAGCTAATTTTTCGGGAATGTTTGTTAGCTGTGTAGGACTATATCTATTCGTAGCATTTTTTCTTTACAATGGTTTTTCTCTCGGTTTTCTAGGCCTTAACGGTACATGACAATTTGGCTATGAAGCTTTGCAATGAGATCTTAGCAAATCCATGTTCACCAGACATCCGGGTCTATGCCAAAGCCTTGAGTTCTTTAGAGCTCAGTAGCTGTATCACAAAAGATCTTCTGGTTTTGCTGAATGAGATGCTGGAGGTAAAGATCCGATTATTCTTAGTGTGTATATATTTATCAAGTAAACATATTGTGACTTTGTTCATTTGAAGTAAACATTTCCCTCATGTATTTCACATACATTTTAGGAGTTTTCAAACAATTTTTTATCAGTCTGTAACTTTTTTGAAGGGAGATTAGGAAATATCACATTTGACGGGTTAATAATGTTTTCTGTTACAGCAAGTAAAAGATAGGCTGTGTCTGAGAGCTGTGGAGAAAGTGAAGACTCAGTTAGAAAAAGGAAATCAAGAGTGTGGTGACCAACCCGCAGCAGCCCGGGATGCCCAGATGACAATGACTACGCAGAATGAAGACGGTGAGGACGTCCTAACCTGAGTAGTTAGGATTCTCTTTCGTCTTTACTGAGATGCACTGTGTCTTTAATATGTCTGACCGAATTTCAGAATAGAATAGAAATTTCTTCTAAGTAATCCCTTGGGAGAGAAGCTGGCTGCTGAGCGTTTGTCCCCCTCTCTTAGCCTGAGTGTGTGTTTCTCACCTGCTGCCCGTGACCACTCTCGTTAGGGGGGTTTTGCTTCTTTTCCAGTCTGTACATCTTCTCAGCGGTGATGGTAACTTTTCAGTAGCTGCTAATGGAATTGTCATTTCTGCTTTATGAATAATGGACTTGAAAAGACCATTTAAAATATTTCATAAGACTGTCTTTTGTTTACATTGTTGTCTTATTTCTTCTAACAGAAAAGAATAAGGAAACATACAAGACTCCTCTTAGGGTTACGAAAGCGACCCGAGCATCAAAATCCACCCAGCAGAGGACTAACAGAGGTAGTATGTGGGTTGATTCATGTGTGGCTTTTAGCTTTATAATAAAACGGTTTTCAAATTTGTCTTCCAATGAAATATTTCGCAAGTTTCTTTCCTTGTTTCCTTAGGGATAAAGATTTTTAAATGTTAAAATATCCTTACCTTTCCTTTTAATTCTTTCAACTGATATCAGCAAACTTTGTTTCTAAAAGATTTCTAAAATCATTGTTGCTCCCAAATGCTTTTGATTGAAAGAAATAGGACGCAGAAGATCATTCTGTTGACGATTTGATCGAGTGATGGTTTTATCCACCAGTGGTCTGAGCATTTAGGTCCCTTTTTCCTGCCCAGTATTTTTTTTTTGCTACAGTGTTTCTTCTTTTCTCTCATTTCATATTTCCACAACTTAATTTACTTCTCAAGGTATATCCAACATGGAATAAAGTAAATGCTGAACATTAGGAGATTACTTGGAAAAAAAAATCTAAAATTCCAGATCTTTTTATTGTTTTATTATTTTCTTATTACAAAGGCAGTGCATGCTTATTACAGAAGAATCAGAAAATACATCCAGGCAAAGTACCGTAAAGAACACTAAGAACCCCACTCAGGAGCCAGCCACATTGCAACCCTTGAAAAATATCTTGAGTCCCTTTTTATATGGATTTCACATTTTTATTCTTAAAGTGGAATCTGGCCATAATACTGTTTCATAAGCAATCCAATCCATTATTTAAACACTAACTGCTAAGTATTATCCCAAATTAGTCCCATATTGTTGGATGTTTTCTCAGAGATAAATGAATTAGAAATTTAAAAGGAAATTATGGAAGAAAGCAAAGTCTTAACATGAGTGAGTGGGACATGTAATTGTCACCCCCAGTGTTCTACTGAACAGCTTGGCTTTGATCAGATTGCTCTCAGCCGGATAATAAAGCACGGGAACTCCACCATTTTAAAAAAACACCCCAAGTTCCTTTATGCATGCTCGGTTTCATTCCTTCCCGTGATGAACCTCACTAGGCATGTGCTGTTGTCCTACTTCGTAACTTCATTTCTAGTAAGTAGAATTTTTGCAGTTCCCAGCCTCTGACGTGGCCGTGTGCATATTTGAATATCACAACAGCCATGACCTTACTGGTCAAAGTTCTACTTCCCCGGGGCTGCTTTACGGCCCTAACCACTTCCATCCGAGTTTGCATTAGTTTCTCATAGACCTTGTGCTGCAGACACATAGAGCCCCTTTGCCTCCTTATAACTTGCTCATAATTTCCTTATTTTTCCCTTGCCCAGACTTATTAGAGCTTACAAGAAAAATTAATATAAATTGTCATCTTTCTTGGGTTTCTTTTCATTGTGGGTTTGATCATCGGTATCACGGTGATTGAGAACAAGGAGCAGTGTGTTAAAGAGGGAAAATAAAGGTATTTGGATAACTCAGAAACAAGACTAAAAACAATAAGCGATTGATAATGAAGTCTGATAATGAATTATTCTGTGTTCAAGGACGGAGAAGAGTGACAGCTTCGGTGAGAGTGAGCAGGAGACGCCACACAGCTGAGGCTGACTCGGAAAGGTATGCGTGTGCGTGCGTGTGCGTGTGCGTGCGAGAGAGACACAGAGAGGTGGCTGCCGAGAAGTAGAGATGCCATAGTTCATGTCTTGTGAATGAGAGAAACTCGATATATAACAAAATGGTGAGCCTGTAAACAGCCGTCTTAGATCTACAGTCAGTAATCGAAAGCCTGTCATTTCCTATGGCTTGTGTGCTTTTGCCTATAGTTGGCATGGCTTTTAGTACTTGATAGCCATCTTGGATAAAATGTTCCCTCATTTATGTTCCCATGTAGTCTGCTAATCACAGGACCATATATGCATGAATCTAAAGTTTATCTGGAATTAGCAGACTCTTACAATTTAGAAAGGAGCTCTGGTGGTGTAGTGGTTAAAGCATTGGGCTGCTAACCAAAAGGATAACAATTCGAACTCACCAGCTGCTCCACAGGAGAAGGGTGAAGCAGTCTACTTCCATAAAGATTTATATCCTTGGAAACAGGGCAGTTCTGCTCTGTCCTAAAGGGTCACTCTGAGGCATAACTGATGATGGTAGTGGATTTTGGGTGAGATTTAGGTAACATATGGGTTCTCTACATTTACAGTGATAGAATAATCTGCCTATAATTTGGATACATTAGTGATTTGCATGATAGAGTTAAGTTTTGGTTTCTGCCACTTAAGCCAAAATGGGAAACCCAAAGTTTGTAGCTGTCTTGCCTTATCCTTTCATTGGTAAAACTGTAATGTGTGCATTTTCAGTAGAACTTTAGATTAAGTCTGACGAAATTTATAGTGTCTTTTTGGGAAACTTGCTGCTTACAGTGTTTCAGGAATTTATTACGTAAATGAAGAGAACTGAAATTATTTTTCACTCCTTGAGAATCCACAATGCTCTTTTGGTTATTATGGTTATGGCCCCTGTTCAGAAGTTTCATTGCAAAAACTTGGTTTTGTTTTTTCTGTATAATATTGGGTTCCATATAGATACAGACATGTGGCTAGGTTTTCCAGGATTCATGTTGGTGGATTCCAGTCACTGTTTTTTGGTTGAGAATTTAGTTCAAGCTTAGTCAATGGACTCAGGTTATCAATTCCAGTCAGTCACAGATGAACAGGAGGTCTATTTTGAAGTAAACTGTAGTTGGAGAACCTGTATTTAAATTGGTACTTTGGACATCTGTTTAGTGACTGTGACGTTCCAGAGCCAGAGTCAGAAATGAAGATGAGGTTACCAAGACGGGCCAAGACAGCAGCACTAGAGAAAAGCAAGCTGAATCTTGCACAGTTTCTCAATGAAGACAGAAGTTAAGAGAGATGATGGAGGTGGAATTCTTTGTAAAAATGCCCTTTAAAATGATTTCAGTTATTTACTTTTAATAAAGTTACCTTTGTGTCAAATTCAGAACAAAAATGCCTGACTTCTTTATTAGACTTCCTGCTGTGTGGCTCCCCGTTGACCGGGCCAGTGGGGAAGCAGCAGGACAGTCTCTCAGTGCTGCAGCCGTCACTGAGGTCTGTTCCGTCGGGGTGGGAGGTGGCCCTGAAACAGCACTTCTAAACACGCTGCCTCGGTGGGTCTTAGCAGCCCTCAAGTTTCAAATGTTGGCATTATGGAAAACTTGAAAATACAATACAATCAGTAGCTTGCATTTGAGAAGCTTATGAGTTTAGAGGAGGCAGATCCAACATCACTGAAAATGCCACAACACACATTTAAAAATGAAATCGTACAAACTGGCCAGGAAGGAGCTTATTATTTTCAGGAAAGAGAGTTCAATGAAACAATTCCACTGAAATCTTTTAATGGGATAGGGAAGTGTGAAGCTTCTCCACGATATTCTGGAGGCATTTCATCCATGACTCTGCTTGGCCTCAGCCTGCTGGTGTCCACAGGGCAATGGGTTAGCCTGTAATGTGCTAACAGCCCTGAGTGCTGGTCCTGCTGTCCTGGCCACGTGTGTGAGCCGGGCCCCGGCGTGTTCATGGAGTCACAGCTGAAAGAGCATTGGGCTAAGAAACCAAGACCAAGATGCTACTTCGAACCCTTCCAGGTCCTGTGGCCTTATGCCTTCCTTTCATCATCTCCAAGGTGAAGGGGTTAGATCAAATGGTTCTTTGGTGCCCTTCTAGGTTTTTAGAAAACATTTTATTACAGAAAATTTTGAATTAAAAAAAAAGTAAGTCCAGTGTAATCAACCCAAATACCCATCACCCGACGTCAGCAGTTAACATCTTGACAATCTGGTTTCATCAATCCTACACTGCAAATATTTTTGATAATCTGCCTGCACGGTGGTTTCTTGTCTTTGACGTCTTTGCATGTGGGAGTGCTAGTTCACTTAGTCTGCTGTGTCTGTGGTGCCGTCCCCGAGTTGGAGAGGTGGCGGAAGTACACACAGTCATGCTGAACATATGAAGCTGTTTGTTTGTTTTGTTGGTTTTTGGCATAATCAAACTATAAATATTGATTATAAATAAAAAATACTACTAATGGGAAAGGAATGTGACAGCAAATCCTCTTTATATATTAATTTATGAGTACTGTTTCTCCAGTGTCAATTTCACTTGTCATCTTCTGAAATAGGCACTTGTCTGGTATATGAAACTTACACTATATGAAATTAGTCCTCTTTTTCTGCAATACCCAAGTTAAAAGGCCAACAGTACACTTGTTCTTATTCATCTGATTATTACCTTTTTTCTTTATTATTCAGGATAGAAATTTCCTAATATCAGGTCTAGTTTAATAATAATTGTGCTTTTAAAAGTTTATTTACCAGAGGCCATTTGTTTAAGGTGACCTAAGCTGGAGCTAAAGTCAGGTTACTGGCTTTTAGAACCACATTGCTACATTCCATCCAGATAATGTGCTCTGTAGAACTCAGAACTAGAAAAGGAGTCTGACAGTTAAAAAGCAAGCATGCTCATTATGCAAAAGGAAAAGGCAGGTATGGCGATGATAGGAAATAATGGCAGGCTGATGCCTATGTTTCATTTGTTGGCTCCGTGTCTGTTCCTGTGCTTTCAGTTCCTTGGGTAGGTCTTCTTTTGTTTAATCCCTGTTATGTAAAAAACATTTTCTAGGGGTTAGGAAAGAATAAGGACTTAAAGTACACAAAAGGTGCTATGAGGAAAAGTTGGTAACTTAAATCCCATTCTTTCCAGGCCAGGCAAGAAGCCATGTTCTGATACACTTACTATGTACCGCCACACCAAAGCTTGCTTTCTCTGTGTGGGGAAAACAAAGCTAAGCGTCAGACCTTTAGTGTTCTCACTACTCAAGTCTGAGACACAGTCACGTAGCCATTGCTGAAGCGATGCTTTGCACTATTGAAATTAAAGGTAAGAAATAATAGCCTGCTTTTTAAAAAGGCATTCCTTTAAACTGTAAAATAAACATCTAAAGTGCAATAAAATAAAACCAATAGATGTAAGTCCATGTACTGTTTTTCATTCAAAACTGGTATCTTACAAAAACCCAAACAGTGTTGTCTGTAAGAGGTGGAGGCACAGGTTTGCTGATTAAACATGCAATTGTGCCATGGCTCTTATAGCCCACAGACTGTAAGTGTAAAAGCAGAGAGAAAACTGACCTGCTCAAATTCTCTTACAAATGAAAACATGCTATTGAATGAAAAACTCTGATCCATTTTTCTATACATATATAACTTGAAGAGAGAAACTTCCAAGAGACACCTTTGCCTTTTACCAATTTGCTTCGAGGTAGTTGGTATCCACCTGCTACACAGCTGTCCATAGGTCAGGCAATCAGCACAAGTCTTTACAATACTAGCATTCTAAACCACATAATGCATTATATATTAAAACTTTGTGCACAGAAATAAAATAGGACAATTATGTATTTAAACTTAGGGCATACAAAACTCACAAAATACCATTAAAAAGAGAAACATCAAAATCCATTTGTACTGCAAAATTCCACAATGGTCTGGTGCAAAACATTATGTAAAAAACATACAAATATAATCAAAATGGTTAATGCTCATGATATAGACAAGTCACAGGACTAGAAATATTTCAAGATCAATTGATAAATGCTTATTGTTCAGCAAAAAGAATACTGACATAACAAAATAAAGATAGTGCAAGAAGAACCGCAATCTATTTCTCTTCCCGTGGGAGATTTTGGTTATGGACTGTACAGCTCGCTAGAGATGATGCTGTCAGATTCAGATTCCATTCAATGGGACGAGTAAGGCACATCTTAATGGGACTCAGAGGGCAACTTGCTGGGTCCCCATCAGACAAATTCAGTGTCTCATCAGTTCTCATTTGGAGCATGCTGCAAAAAAAAGTTTAAGGCATTTTAGTTAGACTTTAATTTCAAAGAAACTATCAACCTTGTAAAAGAAAATACAGTCGTTTTATTGTTTGGACCTCTAAACATAGACATCCTGAAAGGAGTCAGTAGGTTTTTTAATTTCATCCCCCAGCTCCTGCATTCTTACGGAACTGAGTGCGAGAGCAGTGCTGTGTGCAAGCCAGGGGCTCCAGAGCCCACGCAGACGCTGGACCAAAGACTTCATCACCTGGATGCACTGCATTAGCTACAGTGAATCCCCAGGTCACGGACAACTCATACTTGCTCTTTAATGTTCTGTAAATTCGCCCTCGCTTTGAAACTAGCCAAGCCCTCCTCTCAACAGTCTTCATCACCATCACCTTCGCTTGCTGCATGTGCAGCTTTTAAAAGAGAACCATATGCACCTGTTCTGACTCACCTACAAATTAAAGGCACACTTACGAGTGGATCTCCTTTGTAATCTGGGACTGCCTGCAGTTCAGGAAGGACATTCCTTACTTAATCTACTGAGCCTGGCAGGATTCAGCCCTACAGCTTGTCCTTTAACCTATACTCTGGGAGCCACCTTGAGACAGGAAGAAGGAATTAACCTTTGTTGAATGCCTGTTGTTAGTGCCATTGAGTCGGACCCAACTCATAGCGACCTATCCTTGGGTTTCAGAGGCAGTGTCACTAGGGAAGTAGATTGCCCAACCTTCCTTCCGAGGAGTGGCTAATGGGTTTGAACTGCCAGCCTCCTGGTTAGCCTCCTGGTTAGCAGTCAAGTGCTTTAGGCAGGATGCTACTAACCCATTATCTCATTTACATTTTACAATAACCAAGCACGATTGGCATACTTATCCTAATATACGATAAAAGTGAATCTCAGAGTCGAGTATAAATAAGCCCAAGGTCAGATAGTCACTGGGCTAGAACCAGAACACAGATCTGTTGTCATTCCAGAGCCTTGCTCCTTCTTTCCCTTCTGTGTAACTGACTAGCTCCCTGACGAACTTAGTAACAGGCATCAGGAGTCAAATGGAGTCTTCTCTTGATGGTGAAAAACAGGCAAGTTGTCCAGGCTGCACGTTGGCCAGCTCATCAGAGGAATAAACATCAGGATCCATAGGGTTTTGTGGTGGTTGCCGAAATCAAAGGATATCTGTATTGATGTAAGAGTTTGTGAGCCTGTTTGGATTCGTATTAGGTTAGACTGTTCTCTATTCAGCTTTATTTCCTAATGCATACTCTCTGTTCTCATCAGAGTTGTATCTTATTTCACAAACTCATTAAACACAATTCCATTCATGAAGCTTGTTCTCACCTAGGAAAACTTGCCCTCCACTTTGTCTAACCAACCTATACATCAAAGCCGGACCCAAATGACATAATTTGGGTATCAACGTATTTCTGGTCTTCTACTAACCTTTAATACTTAGTAAAATGTATTGCACTTAATTTAAAAATTATTTTGGGTTGTCCACTATTGTTTCATGTGTATGGTCTGGTATTAGACCTGAAGAAAAGGATGTTAACGTTCATATCTCTGGAGACGAGTACAGTGTGGAAAACACAGAACAGCTCAGTCAGTTTAATGAACATTGGTTAAAGTCATGTAATGAAACATCTGGGACAGTGCTACTCATTAAGAGTCACAGAAACTTGAGTCAAAGGGCAGCTAGTCTGCCACACGTGTAATGAGCACGTGCATGTCATTCCTTCTCTTCAACATTGTGTGTGGCGGCCGATTCACATCTTCAAATGGGAATTCTGTTTGTGAACTGTTTCCAAAGTTTTCTATACATTAGCTCATTTGACACTCAACTCAGATTAGTCTGGTTGGACTAGATCACTCCTCTGGTTTCTTCCACTCTTAAGTCTACAAATCTTATTTATATATTAATGAGGAAATGAGGTGTTTAGTACTTGAGGGACTTGTCAGACTTGGTAAATGACAACATGCAGACTCCATAAGCATTTTTCAGATCCCTCTTGCAGCTTCAGCA